TTAACCTTTCTTCGTAGGACATTCCCCTTAACTCTGGAATTAACCTTGTCGCAAACCTTTGCACTTTCTCTAATTTCTTAAAGTGTTTGACCCGGTGTGGGTTCCAAACTGGTGCTGCATACTCCAGTATGGGCCTGACGTACACGGTGTGCAGTGTCTTGAAAGATTCCTTCCTTAGGTATCGGAATGCTAATCTCAGGTTTGCCAGGCGCCCATATGCTGCAGCAGTTATCTGGTTGATGTGTGCTTCCGGAGACGTGCTCTGTGTTATACTCACCCCAAGATCTTTCTCCTTGAGTGAGGTTTGCAGTCTTTGGCCACCTAGCCTATACTCTGTCTGTGGTCTTCTTTGCCCTTCCCCAATCTTCATGACTTTGCATTTAGCGGGGTTGAATTCGAGAAGCCAGTTGCTGGGCCACGTGTCCAGCCTGTCCAGGTCTCTTTGTAGTTCTGCCTGATCCTCATCTGATTTTAGTCTCCTCATCAACTTCACATCATCTACGAACAGGGACAGTTCTGAGTCCATCCCTTCCATCATGTCATTCACATATGCCAAAAATAACACTGGTCCTAGGACCGACCCCTGTGGGACCTCGCTTGTCACAGGTGCTCACTGTGATACCTCATCACGTACCATGACTCGTGTTGCCTCCCTGTCAGGTATTCTCTGATATATTGCAGTGCCCTTCCTGTTACACGCGCCTGATCCTCCAGCTTCTGCAATAATCTCTTGTAAGGAACTGTGTCGAAGGCCTTCCTGCAGTCCAGGAAAATGCAATCAACCCACCTCCCTCTTTCTCGTGTCTTACTTCTGTTACTTTGTTATAAAACTCCAGAAGGTTTGTGACACAAGATTTGCTTTCCATGAATCCGTGCTGGTTGTCGTTTATAATCTTATTCCGTTCCAGATGCTCCACCACTCTCCTGATAATCTTCTCCATGACTTTGCATACTATACACGTCAGTGACATTGGTCTGTAGTTTAATGCCTCGTTTCTGTCTCCTTTCTTAAAAATGGGGACTACATTTGCCGTCTTCCGTACCTCACATAGTTGCCCAGTTTCGAGGGATGTGTTGAAGATTGTGGTTAGTGGCACACACAGCATCTCTGCTCCTTTTCTAAGGACCCAGGGGAGATGTTATCCGGTCCCATCGCCTTTGTGTGTGTGTGTGTGTGTGTGTGTGTGTGTGTGTGTGTGTGTGTTTGTGTGTGTGTGTGTCTGTGTGTGTGTGTGTGTGTGTGTGTGTGTTTGTGTGTGTGTGTGTCTGTGTGTGTGTGTGTGTGTGTGTGTGTGTGTGTGTGTCAAGCTGACTGGTGAACTGGGACAGCAGGTGTTGGGAAGCTTCTCCAACTCGCTTAAATAATGCAGAAATATTATATTAAATAGTCTGATATGGACGGTTCTTAAATACATTTTAACTTGAGTTACTAAAGTTAAACATATAAGTTGAAATATGATACTTGATTAATGAAAACGTTGTATATGTATGTTGTAGTATATAATATATTTATAAAGTGAAATTGTATAATTATATAATTTGTATTTTAAACTAATTTTTGCACTTTCCTGAAAATGATTACATTTTTGACTGTATGTTACCAAAATTACTTGATGTGTTGAGTGTACCCGAGTACAGCAGTGACCGAGTACAGCAGTGACCGAGTACAGCAGTGACTGAGTACAGCAGTGACTGAGTACAGCAGTGACTGAGAACAGCAGTGACTGAGTACAGCAATGACTGAGTAAGCAGTGACTGAGTACAGCAGTGACTGAGTACAGCAGTGACCGAGTACAGCAGTGACTGAGTACAGCAGTGACCGAGTACAGCAGTGACCGAGTACAGCAGTGACTGAGTACAGCAGTGACTGAGTACAGCAGTGACTGAGTACAGCAGTGACTGAGTACAGCAGTGACCGAGTACATTAGTGACTGAATTACATGAGCCTCGACTCACCCACAATTAAGCATTACTATGTGGTAGTACTTGGCTTCAACATACCAACCCCTGTTAATAAGACACATTATGTGGTTCATAAACCACATAATGTGTCTCACTGACACATTTGTCGATACTACTGATATACATAACTCTCCCTTTACCTTTCATACACCTTCTTCTCTTGTCATTTCTTTAAAACTCTTCAGTAAACTTCTCCCATTATGTGGCACTAATCATTGAGCGACCCTCTCCATTACGTGGCAGCAGTCGCCAAATAAACCTCTAATATGTGGCAATAATTACTTAATGTACTTCTTCAGTATGTGGCAGCAGTCACTAGGGAAGTGGGTGAGTGTAGTGAGAAGTGTACAAAGGTTGATGAAAGTGTGTGGGTCGGATCTTGAATGAGTATTGATTATCGTGTACAGTGGTGAGTCCCACAGCAAGCAGTGTACACCGTAGCCAGCTGTGCGTTCATGGAAGGATGTGAGATATGTAGAGAGCTGCAATGTAAAGAGGTAACCCACGGAGGAGGCCAACACAACGATACTGTCCACTGCAAGAAGGGGCCACGACAGACTTCGTCAAGAAAGGACCCCCAGCATTAAATCGTCTGGTTGTCTATATAGCTGAAGGTCCATACCCTAGCATAGGTATCACTACCCATCCCATCCACTGCTTCTAAAGTATAACAATACTGGTACCGACTCGCACCTGGAATAATGTGCCTCGACAAATATATTGAAGAAACAGAACAACTGGCCCAGGAGTCCCACTTGATAAAGAGAACAGAAAATGACAAACCACAAGGCTTTTTCCATTTCTAAAAACGCTGCCATGGTATGAAGACGTCATGTGAAGCTCTTCGGAACGTCGGTGTTCACCTGTGCTGTGGTATGCTAAGAGTGTTACATTATATTCGGCGTATGTCGTACTCATATAAGCTACCTCCCGACCAGCGAACCAGGTGCTAGATTTAATGATCTAATAAGGGCCCCGTCGTTATACAAGTACCTCGGTTCATCGGCCAATCACAGATAAGCCCGCCACAGCTGTGAAACAATGTGGTTCACTCGTGACATGAGTTTTGGCAGATTTGTCTGGGCTGCTCACGGTGCTTTGTCTGGCTCTTACATTTTGCCTCTTATAACCACCGTGTTGTACACTTGCTCTTATATTATTGTACAGTGTAAATAGTGTACATATTGTAAATACCAGCTTGCTTCTTTGGAGAAATACAAGCCATCTAACCTCCGCTGTCTTTTGCTTGCTCCACTGTTTATCGCATTAAGGCAAGGTGTGCAAGCCATTATATACATGCGTTTGTAATATGTACCAAGACACCACACTACACAAGACAGATACAACCGCTGGACTTGAGTCGGGTATTCATCATGTGCAGTAGAATGGCAACTAGTCAAGAAAAAATCTTAGACGCAGGGAATACTCAGGAAGAACATCGTCCACTTAACAAGGGGCGCTCCACTGTGGTGTACCTATGGTGGAGTATATTTGTCGAAGATTTTTAATCTTCTTTTATACTCCTGGAGGTTGTGGGGAAGGTTACTGGAACTCACTTTCCCTCTACACTTCCAGTCTATGACTTCTCCATTCCTCTCCTTGCTTCACGAAATACCTTTCTCAGCAGCTAATACTAGCTGGTAAATTTGCCGAATAATTATGGTGTATCATTTTGGAGGCGACGATACGACGAGCGCACAATTTGATGACGCCGCTTGTCATCCAGGGGTGTGGTGGCAGTGTGGTGGCGGCAGTGTGGTGGCAGTGTGGTGGCGATGTGGTGGCGATGTGGTGGCGGTGGTGGCAGTGTGGTGGCGGTGTGGTGGCGGTGTGGTGGCAGTGTGGTGGCGGTGTGGTGGCGGTGTAGTGGCGGTGTGGTGGCGATGCGGTGGCGATGCGGTGGCGATGCGGTGGCGGTGCGGTGGCGGTGCGGTGGCGGTGCGGTGGCAGTGCGGTGGCAGTGCGGTGGCAGTGCGGTGGCAGTGTGGTGGCAGTGTGGTGGCGGTGTGGTGGCGGTGTGGTGGCGGTGTGGTGGCGGTGTGGTGGCGGTGTGGTGGCGGTGTGGTGGCGGTGTGGTGGCGGTGTGGTGGCGGTGTGGTGGCAGGCAGAGCACGCCATATGGCCAGAGAATGGCAGGATCTGCCGCCCACAACACCGCCTTGAAGCAGCAGACATTAGTCCCCGGCACACCCGGGAAATTACTAATAACCACAGTAATCTGGGACCGATCTGCTCCAGTCCCCATCCCCCCAAGTCCCCTCCAGAGGGTAGACTGAGGGGATAAAGAGAGGGGAAAGAAGCCTGCAGTCTCCAAAAGAGGAGAGTTACACACCAAATGAACTTCAGGAACATTGCAAATATCATTACATTAATAGGCAGCGCTAAATCCGCACGAGTCATTCAGCGCCTTGGGCAACAGGAGGAATTCAGGTTTAGTCCAAGAAAGGGAAGTGAAAATCCAATTTCTTGGATCAAGAGAACCACATTAGTACCAATTAGCCTCCCTTGAGGTGTTCATGATAAAGTTGACAAATTACATATGTGCAACACCTGGGTATTTTTACTGAGGAAACATTTGGCCACATAGTGTCTTCATCAGTCCTGTACGAAGATGAATGGTGAAGATCAGAAGGAGTTCGAGGTAATCAATCCCTCAGTCTGGAGTCGATGCAATCAATTTTTTTAAGACTGATGGATTGATTACGTCGACTCCAGGCTGAGGGACTGATTCCTCAGTAAAGATACCAAAGTGTTGCACGTGTATCTAATTTATCAACTAGACGGTTCTCTGAACCATTTATCTATATTCAGCTTTACGTAGTGAGAGAGAGAGCGAGAGAGCGAGAGAGCGAGAGAGCGAGAGCGAGAGCGAGAGAGAGAGAGAGAGAGAGAGTCTTCACAGATACTGTGGTATGAGAGAGGTCAGAACAAGACCTGCCTTAACTTGTGCACAAGCTGAAGGCAGTGTTAAGAACTCTTAATTAGATCCTCTTTGTATGGTGACACAGTAGTGTGTTAGACATGTTAATGGTACCTACCTTGATCCTATTGTGTAGGAATATGACATCGGAGCTGAGGTCCTGAATGTGATTCCTCTTGGCTGAGAGGAGGCGGTAGAGCTGACCCTCGTTGGCGTGTGTCAGCCGCGTCGTCACCTCCACCAACGTCCGTGTTGATTTCTGCCGCGACACCGCCGACGACAACGCTGACCCCGAGCGTGAGTGTTCTGCAGGCAACACAAAAACTGTGTCAGCGGAGGAAAAAAAACGCAATTTGGGGGAAAACTTCAGTTTTTCGATCTATGAAAAAAAGAGGTGAGCCACAGAACTGACAAGGGTGACAAGGTGGTTGGTGCAGTGAGGCATTTGTGGAAACAAAGAACGGTATCCATGGAGGCAAAAAGGAGAATGTATGAGAGCATATTGGTGTCAACACTCTTATATGGGTGTGAAGTATGCTTTGTGAATGTTGCAGCAAGGAGGTTGTTGAAGGCAGTGGAGACGTCAAGTGTGAGGGCAATGTACTGTATTATGCTGAAGAGAATTCGTATTTTGGAGACTAGAAGGTGTGGGGTTACTAAGATTATTATCCAGAGGACTGAGGAGTTGCTGAGGTGGTTTGGAGATTTAGAGAGGATGGAGCAAAACAGGATGACCTGGAGAGTGTATTTGTGATGGAGGGAAGGCGGGGTAGGGGTCGTTTTAGGAAAGGTTGGAGGGAAGGGGCAAAAGAAGTTTTGTGTGCGAGGGGCTTAGATCTCCAGCAAGCGTGTATGAACGTGTTAGGAGTGGAGGCAAATGTTTTTTATGACGACGTGCTGTTGGAGTGTGAGCAAAGTAACATTTATAAAGGGATTCAAGGAAATCGATTAACCAAACTTGAGTCCTGGAGGTGGGAAGCGTAGTGCCTGCACCTTGAAGGACGGGTGGGGATGATTGCAGTTTTAAACTGTCGTATCGGCGCGCCTCTGGCAACACAGTGATGGAGTGAGTGATCGTGATTGATGGAGTGAGTGATCGTGATTTTTTTGTATTTTTTTTTTTGGGGGGGGGAGGGATCACCATGTGAGTGTGTGTGTGTGTGTGTGTGTGTGTGTGTGTGTGTGTGTGTGTGTGTGTTGTGTGTGTGTGTGTGTGTGTGTGTGTGTGTGTGTAAGAAATCACAATAATCGCGTGATTGCAAATATATAAAAATACCACATTGAAAATAGAAAATAACATCTGAGTGCTTCAGATTCAAATTATTTGCAATCACTGAATATGCAAAACACACAATAACCAGAAAGCCCATAAATGCACATCATTTCTGACAGAAGTATCATGTATATCAGTGGTATTGGTATAATCTTCCTCTCACAAAAGAAAATCTGGGTTCAGTTTCTTGGCGGGGCGAGACATACGGGAACTTTTCCTTACACCTATTGCCAATGTTGACCCAGCAGTAAATAGGTACTTGGATGTTAGTCGTGTTGTGGGTGGTATCCTAGTGAAGGAAGAACCCTTGTTTAAATAAAATATACTGCATGTTTTTCTGGGTTATCCTGGGTTAACAACCACTGCAGTTATGTAACCCTGAAGGATACCTGAAGTAGGTACACTTTCTGTGTACCTGGGATCTCCCTGCCGGCGGTAGATAGTGCCTACCTTTGCTTAGTGTGATAGACTTCCTGCTGGCCCTGGAGCGTGCAGTGATGCCGAAGTTGTTAGTCAGGTGTTGAAGAAACACCTGAGCGTCATCATCATCGTCGCCCTCACCACCTCTCTCCTCAATGTTGATGCTCGGTACCTCACAACCCCTGCAACATTATAAGTATCCCGGGATACTATCAAATATCCCTGGATATCATTACGTATCCCGGCGTACTACTAACTATCCATGGATACTTGTAGTGCTTCACTGTACATGTGACTCATCAGATGTGCCTTCATCACTGGTATATCCACTCTGCGGGCTTCCTGAGAATGCCTTGTTGGATCACCTTCAAACTTTCGACTATCGCTTATTTTAGCATGAAGAGTTCCGGGAATGTTACTCAGAAGAGTAGTTTCTTATTTGTCAGTTTTTAAAACCTAATTTCAACAGGTGTTATAATGATTATTTTGTAGCATTAGGCATTATTATTATTAACTGTAATAATAGAAGTATAACAATCATACCAGAAAAGATGAGGAAGGACGGATAGGGAGAGTAAGAGAAGGGAGGAGGTAAGAGAAGAGAGATGAATTGTATACTCACACGCTGTATGGTTGAGTTGGGTTGTGATCAGTCATATTGTTGGTGCACCCGCGGGCCATGGTGATAACAATGAACCTGAACTCACATCACGGCTACACCGTCACA